CCCAGCCCCTCCCCAGGTCACCCCCAGCCCCCTCCCCAAACACCTCCCAGCAAGTCAGTCCCCTCCCCAAATCACCTCCCAGCCCCTCCCCAGGTCACCCCCAGCTCTGCCGCACCCGGCCTCCTGCCTGCCTGCATTAGCAGGAACCGTTTTTTTCTGTGTGACACCTCTCCCCGGTTTGGGATGACTTTCCCTCTGTCTTGGAAAAGCTGACATCAACGATGCTCCCTCATCCTTCACTCGTCCCTCACAGCGACAACCCATTACTGCTGAGGGGGACTGGGGGTCACACCGCGTGTCCCCTCAACCGAGCAGGCAGGAGCCAGGCCATTCAATTCATTTCTCTGCTGCAAATTCCAAGGTACGGCTGTGATTCCAAACTTTAACAGTATGTGCAAAAAATGTGCACTTTTGGCGCGCCATGAACCCAGGGGGTGATTAGCACACGGGGGAGTAATCTTTTTAAAAAGCTTTTAAAGCAACCTAGACCAAAGTCCCCACCCAGGCAATCGATCGGCTCTGTGTCTCTGGCATATCGGAGATTGTGGGGGATGCGCGAGAAGCTTCCAGAGCAAAGGTCCCTGGCTCTATGGAAAGTTCATTAAGATGTGTTAATTAGAAATCAAGCACAAAAGTCTATCAGCTGCACGGCTCTCTGCACACACAGGGCTGCGGTTGCACGTAAGGGGAGACTTCCTACCGTTGACCATGCTGAGGTGGGAGACCACGTTGACCAGCACGCCCCCTTTCCGGAAGTGGTCACTCATGTGCTCCAGCCAGTTGGCGTCCACGCTGCTCACAGACTGACCGGTCCTGGACACCCGCAGAGGGATGGTGACGGGGTAGTACTGGCGACACCTCTGCTGGTTCCTGGGCTTGTTGAACAGCGTGAAGAGCTCCAGGCCTGGGGGCAAAGGGAGAGAGGGTCAAAGGTGACACATATACGGGCCTGTGGGCAGTGGGCAGAGAGGATGGTCAAAGGAGATACATCCAGGACTGCAGGCAGTGGGCAAAGAGGAGGGTCAAAGGTGACATATACAGGCCTGTGGACAGTGGGCAGAGAGGAGGGTCAAAGGAGATACATCCAGGCCTGCAGGCAGTGGGCAGAGGGAGAGGAGGGTCAAAGGTGATGAGGGCAGTGGGCAGAGTGAGAGGAGGGTCAAAGGTGACACGGTCCTGCCTCCCTGGGCCTGGTGGTGCTCTAGCAACTGGGGAGGTAAGTCCCTGGCCCCCGGCTAGGTGGCCATAATGACACCCAGGGTCAGAGCAGAGCCATGCCCCGTGTGGGTATTAACGGCAGGCCATCCAGGAGCCATTGGGCAGCCCCAGTGCCCATCAGCGGTTGGCGGCTAAGAGCCCAGGGTGCATCCACACAGCAGACACCGTGTGTCACTGGACAACGCCCAAGGGTGAGTGAGAGGCTGCACAGCACGGACGACCCCAGGAGGAGCGGAGTGACCACTGAGAGGCCAATGGCAGGGGGCTGCCGCTGTGCCTTCCAGCAGGACCCGGCCACACCTTCCCCTGCAGATGGTTCCCGAGGCTACAGACGGTCCCCAGGGAGACTGCCCATCTTTCTCCCATGGAGGAGCTGGGGGATCCGAACTGCGTACCTCAGGGCTGGCAGAACAGCTCCTTACCACCAAGCCACCAGAGCGCCTTAGGAACGGCCAAAGACCATCATTGGGGAGCTCTGGTGGCCTAGTGGCAAGAAGCTGCACTGCAATCCCAGAGGCACACGGTTCGAATCCACCAGATGCTCTGCCGAGGAAGGAGGGACAATCTCCTCCTGTACCAGTCAGATCTGATTTGACAGTACACACACACACACACAAAGTAATAATAATAATTAAAAAAAAAAAGACCGTCATCACAAAAAGCTAAGAAAAGCATGCACCCTGACCCGATCCTTCACGGGAGCTGAACAAATGGGGAGAAAGGGAGACAGGAGAGAAAATGAAGGAGCAGCGAGGCTGGGAGGAGGGGAAGGGTGCACAGCGGGGCTGGCTGTCCCCCGCTGTCAGGCTGCACTCAAGGGGTGGGACAGATACAGGAATTAACTCATCAGTGGTGATTCACGTTATAAAACAAAATGCAAGTGAATGGTCACTCATAGCTGTTTCATGAAAATCTCACGTGATTTGCAAGCGTTCACAAAAATAAAAGTTTGGTTTTTGTTTTGTTGAATAAAAAGAGAATAGCAGGTATTTCTTCCCAGGTATCCCTGGGGGAACTTGATCCTCCAACCTCTGGGTTGAGAGCAGAGTGCATTAGCCAAGTTTGCTCCCCAGAGACTCTTGGCTGTGGCGCTGACAGGTAATAAAAGCTCCTTCTCCAAGCAGTACATGCAGGCTGACGGAGAAGTCACAGGATCCTAATAGGATTCGCTTTGGGGTAGGGGGCGCGGATGTGGGTTTTAAATCCGGAACACAGTGAAGAGATGGTATCTGGGCTTCATTTGCACAGCGAGGTGCTTGAGAGGGGCAGGGCAGGCACCCCCACAAACGCAAGCACGCGGGTGTTCTGGAAGCAGAAGCAGACATATCTGGATGAGCTAGACTTTGGAAATGAAAGCGCAGACGCACGCAGAGACAAACACAAAGCTTGACTTCCAGGAACCCCGACACCCGGATCCGCTATTTATAAACGGCAGTGGTGTTTCCTGGGGCCAAGCATCATACTTAATCAAGTGCATCAAATATACATCATTGATAAGTAAAAATAAATATGTTCCCGTAAGTGAGGGTTCCCGCCGGAGTGGCGGGGAGCAGGGCGCCCGGCATCCCTGGGGACCTTGAGCCGGCTCTGCAGTGGTCAATACTGGCCCTCCCCGGCTGCCTGACCACTGACCCCGAGCCTGACCCCCGTGGCCTGAGCCAGCAGCCCCCCAGGAGCAAATGCCTGCACCTTAATCTACGCCTCAAGTCTATTTGTGTGGTTCATGCGGCCAAGCACTCGGGAAGACCCAGCTTAATGAGCTTTGCTTCAGCGGGCTGGTCACGAAGGAGGTTCTGCTCCCCAAAGCATCTGTCTACATAATAAGAAATCTCCACCCTTCATTCAAAGTGAAGGCTGACGTTGTGGGAGATGTCAGCTCCCAGCACTAACACCAACCCTGGATCCCGGGATGGGGACACAGCTTCCCCAGACGCCAGAGTTTCCTAATGCACTCGGCACCCACGTGTTCTCATTTGAACCGACTCCCTTCTGTGACATAACTGCACGTAAGGAGGAAACTTGTGCTATGACCGTCAAGAGCATCCTGAGACATAAACAGCAGGTAACCACGAGACACTGGAATTCCAAATAAGTCCATCCACTCGCCATCTAAAATTATCCCAGAGGTGGGGCGTGCTGGGACAGGAAGTCCTTCCACGGGCCCATCTGTGCAGACACCATCTGAGCACTCCCTGGGGACGACCGTGGGCCGTGAGATAGGTCATTATGAAGTCACTCACCAGAGGGGCCGTCTCGAGGGCCTATCAGACAGAGGTGGTTCAGAAGGCCGAGGCTCGGCTTCCAAGTTGTGCTGTTGTTACGTGTTGCAGGAGTGGCGCCCACTTCCTAAACAACACGCCTCCCGAAACTCTATGGACTTGGATGAATGTCGATAGTTGTAGCGGGGCTTCAGGCCTTGTGTTTATAGAGTCGTGCTCTACTCGAAAGCAATCAACACCACCATCAGGAGGAGTTCACTAAGCCTCACAGTGGCCCTGTGAACACACATCGGACCTGCCCCGTCCCGTCCTCACCGCCTCTGACCTGCTCCAGCCCGCTGTCACAGCCACTGCGTCTGCCCATCTCGTGAGACTCCTCCTCTCTCTCTCTCTGACCCTCTGCCTTTCCCAGCAGGATTTCCCAAGGACTGGCCCCTTCTGACCACATGCCCAGTGTATGTGAGACAGTGGTCAAACACAGATGCATAAGAATAGAAAGGGAAAATAAATGACAGCACTTGCGTGGGAGAAGTGAGTGGGCGAGAGGGAAGTGGCCAGAGTTCTCGTGTACACACACACACACACACACACACTCTCTCTCTCTCTCTCTCTCTCTCTCTCACACACACACACACACACACACACACACACACACACACACACGGTATT